ATAATAATAATAATAATAATAATAATAATAATAATAATAATAATAATAATAATAATAATAATAATAATAATAATGATGATGATGATAATAATAATAATAATAATAATAATAATAATATACTTATTATTATTACTAATTTCATAATTATTAATATATTAATAATACTAATTATTATTAAAAAATGTTAATAGAAAAATTTAATTACTTAAAATTATTTGCTGGAATTACCCATTTTAATTCGGACAGATAATTAATTATTAATTTTAATTTCTTAAAATTATTATTTACTGAATAATTTTAATTACTCTTTGATTTAACGACCTTATTTTTGAACAATTGGTTTCTTATGTTCAATAATTCTTTTTTGCAAAATTCCAAATAATTTTTCATTTGCAATGCTAACCATTTTATTTTTCTCTTATTCAGTTTTCCAAAAGATAAAAAATAAATTAATGATATTTACCTATTTTTATCAAATTATGTATTTATCAAGTTGTTGTCATTGATGATGATGAGTCAACTTTTTGAAAGAGAGGGGTACTAATAATAATGAATGACTTTTAGTTAATTAATTTCAGGTTTCAGCTATTAATTACTAATAACAATAACTCACTGATTATAATTTCTTATAATAATTACTGCTAATACTTAATTACTGATATTAACTAACTATTGATAATTTTTTTCATTACTAATTCGGAATGATAATTAATAATGATTTTCATAATGGTAATTAAGAATTCAGAAATAATCATTTTATATTTATATTAACTCATATTAATTATTTTGAAAATAAATATTTAATGTTAATTATTTATATTGGAATTATTATCAGAAATTATAATTCATACATTTATATGAAACAATTAATTATATTATTATTATTATCAATACTTATGATTAATACTTATATTAATTAATATAATTATATTGTTATCAATAATTATAATTAATTATTACTAATAATAATGATTTATGATAAAAGTTAATTACTGATTATAATTACTTACTGATAATTAACTCCTTAATTATAACAACGATAATTATTACTTTGGAATGTTAATTAATTAATGATAATTAATAAGTATTTTAATAATGTTAACTATTAATTGGGATATAATCATTTTATATTTATATTAACTCATATTAATTATTTTATAAATATATAATTAGTGTTACTTATTTACATCATCATCATTATTATTATTATTATTATTATTATTATTATTATTATTATTATAAGTAATTATAATTAATACTATTATTATTCTCTAATAAATATTTCATTTAGTGAAAGTTAACTTATAAACTTTCAATTATTCATTATTGTTAAAATAAAATAATTATAAAAGCAATTACTATTTCAGGAATTAACTAAAAATCATAATTATAACAAATTAGTTACTTCATAATAAAAATAAAAATAATATATAATAATAATTTAATATTACTTATTTCAAAATCAATACACACATAATAATAATATAATATTAGTAAATAATAGTAATAATAATATACTTATTATTATTAATGATTTCATAATTATTAATATATTATTAATTTATATTACTCAATAAAGACATGGAATAAAAAAAATTCAATTTACCACTAAATGAATGAACTAAATATATATGAGTATTCTAATTGACTTGAATTTGACACATCAACATGCCCAAAATTATAATTTCAATCTACATTTCCTATTTCTATCTCCCAATTCCCATAATTCAAACATACCATTAGGTTATATACAGATTTCCCTACCTTTTTCCCAAAGATAAATTCTAGCTAGTCTACGTTCACCGTGGGGAGCTTAGACTTAAAATTTATAACCATGATTGACCAAAAGAAGTGTTGCCACCTAACTTGGAAGTGACTTCCTCCATACTCAAGATGGTCTCATTATTCTCCTTTCTTTCATGTTTCTTCTATTGGATCAGCTTTGGAGTCCTGATTATATTATCAGTTGATTGTAGCCATACATGATGATGATTTGATTATAGTCATATATTTTTCATCTCTTACTTCAGAGGATGGATGCATTTGCAAATGTTGTTTGGCATGGATTGTTTTTCTTAGCAGCTCTTTGAATGATTTCTTCCTTCTTTGCCTCTTTGAATGGATATCATTTAAATGCTTTTTATCCATTCATATGTCCCTAAATATTAAGCGGAATTGGTGATATTGTTGTAAATATCCATCTAATTTTACTATTTTATAAATAGATTACTGATTTCAAAGTTATTGATACTTTTTTGGGGGTGGGTTGCTCAACAAGACATTGATTTTTTATTGTTAAATAGTAAATTTCAAATTAAATGATACTATAGTTGCCCTTTACTTGGTATGGGGTCATTGTCTAGATAAAACATGGTAAGTCTATTAAATCAAATAAAGAGCCTACCCTAAATGTCTATTAAATCAAATAATTATTTGCTGAAAATTACTGGATTAATTAAATAATAATAACAATCAATTATTTATAGAAATAATTAATAATAATAAAAATCATCAAGTACTTAATTAAGTAAACAATAAAATATGAAATAACAATCATCAGTTATCATTAATGTTTATTCAAAGCATGCCCCATAATAATTACTAAATATAGTAATTAAACCTTAAATAAGAATCAATATTTATTAACAGTCATTAAAATTGTTAAGCCAAATCATTAATGTTTATTCTTAAATTCAAAATATGAATTGACAAATCTATTATATAATAATTATACTTGGTTGGAAAAAAATATTTTAAGTAAATATTTAAATAATTACAAATTTAGTTATTATTATTACTATATATAACAAAAATTTTAAATTAAATACTAAAATAAAAATAATAATAATAATAATAAGAAGAAGAAGAATAAGAATGGTTAAATTAAAGTAATAAAACGGTTCAAATTGAATTTAAT